GCCCCACCTGAGCGTAGCGGGGGGCGTGGCTGCGGGCCCCACCTGAGCGTAGCGGGGGCGTGGCTGCGGGCCCCACCTGAGCGTAGCGGGGGGCGTGGCTGCGGGCCCCACCTGAGCGTAGCGGGGGCGTGGCTGCGGGCCCCACCTGAGCGTAGCGGGGGCGTGGCTGCGGGCCCCACCTGAGCGTAGCGGGGGCGTGGCTGCGCGTGCCCAAGTTGGGTGCTAAGGACACCGAGCCCTGTGAGCCCCCACCCCGGCCCACGCAGGCAGCGACTCGCGGCGCCTGAGTCTCGCCCGGCTGCCAGTGCAGAAACAGGCCTGGAGGTCTCAGGGCGCTGCAGCCTCCCGGGCAGGACTCACTGGCGGCCTCCAGGCCCTGGGCTTTAGGGGCCGTGCAGGTGCAGGCAGGACGGTCTCCGGCTCTGCTGCGCTCCTCTGTCCCGCTCCCTCCCTGGCTGGTCAGCCCCTGTCCCTCTGCCCCCACTGGGGCCCCTGCTCCTGTGACCCCTGGCAGCCCAAGCCTCCTGGACTGCCCCAGCCCCCAGAGGCTCAGACGGGGGATAGCTGCTGTTAGGGGCCACCCCCTGCGCCCCTTCACGGAGGCCTGGGAGCCCCTGGCTCCTGCCCCTGCCCAGTGCGCGCCCCGCGAGGCGCGCAGCCCCCCACGGCCCCTCCTCGGCAGCCTCTGGCTCAGAGGCCTCCTGACCGTGCCTGCTCTCACCTGCACCCTCCGGGCGGCCACCCTGGTGGCGGGTGCCACGGAGGGCCCCCGGAGAGCTCTGAGATGACCCTCGTGGTGCCGGCCGGGCCTCAGCTCTGGGGGCGGCATGCCCCCGCCTCCTGGGACGGGCACGCAGCAGGTGGCCGGCGGGACAAGCTGGGCCCCGGGAGCCCCCCCCGCTGGCCGGCACGCAAGGAGCCTGGACGCCAGCACTCCGCGCTACAGGTGAAAGCCGACAACTCTTCCTGGGTCCAGAAGGGAAGTGAGGTCACGCAGATGGGCCGACACGGGCCCATCCTGGGCAGCCGCACTGGGCCCGCTGTAGGGTGCGGTCACCTCCAGGAGAGCGCGCCCCGGGGCCTCTGGCGGGAGGGGCGGGCAGCGAGGCTTGTCCTCGGAGGCTGTCCCTGGCAAAGCCACCGCAGAGCGCCCAGCCCGCGGGG